CCCCCGCGGAGATGCTGCCGCCGCTCCCCCCCAAAAAAGCCCGAGGCGACAGCCGCTGGGCCACGGCGCTAGCTGGTGCTGAAGCTCAGGCTGTGGCCGCAGCGATACAGACGCTGTTGGCCGCCGCTGGTACCGGCGCCACTGTTGTTGTGAAGCCCCGACGCCGCCGCTCACTCCGCCATGTTGCCGCCCCCTGCCTGCGGTAGCGGCTACTGCGCCTGCGCAGAGGCTACGGGGGCGGAGCCCTCGCTGCACCCCCTCTTTTTTTTATATACCCTGCCCTCCTTCGCTTCCACCTACCCACCCCGACACCCTTCGTCCCTCCTCCCTGACCCCCTCCCCCCCGCACACACAGTCACCCTGAATGGATAGACAGGTGAGCAGGTGCATGGGGACGGGCTTGCCAGACCCTGGGACTAAGCTGGCATAGGCGGGGCGGGTGGCGGCTTCCTTGTGGTTGTTCCCTGGAGGGTGGATTCTCCCTGCGGGGAAGGACACAGTGTGCGTGTCTTTGCCTAAACTGCTACCGCCTCCGCCTCTCGGCCCTACGTGCGCTCGCTGGGCGCTAGTTCGTGGTCTTCGCGGTCGCCTCCAGCCAAGGCCACGTGTCTGGTGAGGGAGGGGAGTGGCAGACCGTCTCCCTCGGTCCCTTGTCGCCCTTCCTCGCTTTCTGCCCGCCTGCTCTCCCTGAAATTTCCCAAAGGGAAAGTGGCTGGCAAAGCAGAAACAAACACACGCGGAGGGAAGGCGACGACGAGCCCGCCTTGCCTGGGGGGAAGGATGCAGATGGAGTGGAATGGGTCTTTCTCTCTCTCTCTCTCTCCCTACAGCCAAGAGAGAGGCTGACACCTGCACACACAGGCGCGACTTAAAATAGAACTTGTCAAACAGTGATCCTCTCAGGAACGGGCTGAGAACAACAAATAGCTCTTGAACTCGCCTCCCAGCCTAAAAAGGCAAGCCTGGGTGACCCAGGGCAATAGTTGAGTGATTTGCAACAAATCTCACACTTTAAAAAAAAAAATCCCTAAAGATCATCAGGTATGATGCCTCCCCTTAGGAGTTTTATTTTTGACATGATCTAAATACAGGGGAGATTCTCATTCTCACTGTCAGCCTTAGACTAGGAGAAAAGTAAATTTGATATCTCAACAGATAATAGATCCCCCCCCAAAAAAATTTTAGTTTGAATGTTAAGAAGTTAACATGTGCATGGTAATCTTACTGCTGGCATTGAATTGAAACTAAATAAACATGACTTCTGGTTGCTTCCTTCAAAGGACAGATGTAATTTTCGTGAATATTTCATGAAGCCTGCTCTGTGCAATAAAGATACATTTCACAGGAAATATTAAGTCCCTTAAGATATATTCAAATCCTTTTCATGTTCATCTCAAATGGAAAAAATGTCAATATATAAATCCATCATAATCCAGTTTGTTACTAATCACATCTAATTAGAACTACTGGTGAACTTAACTCCCAGAATACAAGGGACATGGAAAAAGTCTGAAGTACACAGCTTATAACAAAATTCCTCAAAAACAAGAGATTAGGATTAGTACTTGGTCATATGTTTGTCTAAACTTCCAGTGAAGTGATTGTATTATTGAAGTAGTTGAACAAATTTTTTTGGAAAAAATTGGTATGTTCCTTTCAATGAAATAGGAATGGAATTATATAATGCTAGCATGATTCTAACTGTATGAGGATTTACGAAACATGTAAGACTTAACCTGTACTAGTATGTCTTGAAATAGACTCTAACTGAAAATCCTGTAACATTTATATCTTATCTACAGCACATCCTTTTGGTGTCTGCTAGTATCAAGGCTGAGCTCTGGACCTTGTACTCACACTCGATTTTCCTGTGAGTGGCTGGCACACTACCACTTAATCATTTCACTGGTTAATTGGAGATTGACTCTCATAGACTTTTCTACCCAGACTTGCTTTGAATTATAATCCTTCAGATCTCAGCCTTTTGAGTAACTAGGATTGCAGGTGAAAGCTACCAGTGGTGTCCATCCACAACATTTTTGTCTGTGCCAGATATATGCTTCTATGAGAATGATGTCATTTGCAAATTTAAATTGCTACATCATTTTTACATATATGAATCCAGACTTAAAAGTCATCACACTGGATTTTATAACCCCACAGATAGATAGATAGATAGATAGATAGATAGATAGATAGATAGATAGATCTATAGCCATCTCTCTATATGTATGGCAGCAAGTTCTACCTCTTGTATTTCACACGTCTTGAATGAGTGCTTTCAGAGAAATGACAACCTGAACTTCCTAATTTCTTTCCAGATCAATAGTTTAACGTCTTTAACATTTGTTTGAATTTTCCCTACAATTTTGCTTTGTTTTTCTTGTTCATATTTTAGTAGAGATAGGAATGGCTAAAGAGAATAGCCCTATTTCAAAGTGCGTGCTTAATTCAGTTTCAAAGATATTTAAAAGAACTTACCAATTAAACTATTCACTTTTGGACTGTCAGTCCCTCACAAGCAATACAGCACAGTGGAATGTGGGGAGGGCTTTGAATCACCTTATAACTACCCATACAGTCTGCTCAGCTATTTGAAGTTCATTATACTCCTTCCTTAAACAGATATAACACCTGCCTCATAGGGAAGTGAGAAGTCAATGAAATAATTTCCTCTCAGCAGCTAACATACAGTAATATGTCTTTGTATTGTTAGTATACAGGAAGAGTGTGTTATGTAGTCTGTAAACACATGAAACTCTAATAACCACATACAAACCTATAGCATTTCACACTTACATGTTTTCAAGGCATGAAGTTTTGGAAAGATGGCAATCAAGTCTGTTTTCTTCTAGACTACAAAGCCACATTGCAAGTGCACAAATACTTAGTATTTAGATTCACAATATTTTGAAATGAAAGATAGATCCATAACACTAAAATAGTCTAAGATACTAACTTTTAAATCTATGGATTAAAAACATGTGCTGGCTCACCCATAGGTCTGGCTACTCAGAAGGCTGAGATCTGGGGTCTGATGTTTAAAAGCAGGCCAAGCAGAAAAATCCAAAAGACTCTACCTTAAAATAACAAGAAAAAAGCTAGAGATGAGGGTATGTCTCAAGTTGTAGAGCTCTAGCTATGAACCAAAACTTCTGCAAGAGTAGGAAGCCCAGTACAAGGCATAGGGACTATGTGTGTATGCATATGTATACATACACATTTTATAAATATACTATACTGTGAAGTATACATAAATTATATAGTGTATTCAGTACATATTAATTTATATACCATTTTGCATACCCATGATTCTGATTCCAAAGCACAACCTTTCAAAGCCCATGAATCTGAGTTCTGAGAGACAGCTTGTGATTTAGAATGCATGCTTCAGATTCAATAGAACTGAGTTTGGATTCCACTCTCACCATCTGCTTCTAAGTGTGATCTTGACCAAATGGCTGAGCTTCCAAGCCGCAACTTAATCAAACAATGTAAACATTATAATACAATTTTTTAGAATTACAGCAGCTGACATGTAAAGTACTTAATGTGGAACAACTGTCAACCAATGGTATTTCTGTCCATTGGCTGTGATGAAAAACATAAGTATTTTAATATATTTAGCATCTAACATAACTAACGTCTAATTTAAATTTTTAAACAAATGAGTAAAAATAATTCAAACTAAATATTCCCTTTGCCTGTTCTTTTGAAACAGGTTTTTTGTTTCTTCTGAACAGAATGCTTCAGATTCTACATGTGATGGGACTAATAAAAAATAGAAACAGTTACCTTACATTTAGATATAAAACTCCCATTGATGCAACTCCAAATTAAGTTAGATTTACATGGAGTGTCCCTAATAATCTAGATAATGTAATAATGACCCATGTAATATAGTAAAGATTCATGTTTGGTGCACAGTAGGTAATTTTATTTCCATTTTCTTCTCATTAAAAAGTTATTATCAACCAAAAAATTTAAGATTTCTTTGTTTTGTTGGATTTTAGTTTGTTTCTACACAGCAGCCTATCTCTAATATGTATCACTACATTTAGATATTGAGATAATACATACAGATTTTACATACTTATTTAAAATTTATTTTATTCAAAATTTCTACTTAAATTCCATATTCTAGAAATGTCTTAATCCTGAATTTATTTTGAAAATAATTCACTGTCTTGTTCTTCTTAATAGCTACAATTTTGAAAACAACTCTTCTTCACAGTCATGCAAATAAGGGAACAGGATAAGAATAACTCAGTAGTTACTAGTAACATTATAAATAAAATCAACTCACCTTTTTCAAATTATGGATCTCAACTTATCAGTAATGGAATTTATTTAATGGATGGCAATAGGTAGATCCTCTTTCTATGGAATAAAACAAAATCACAAAATAAAAATACAAAAATTTATTTTATAAGCAATAGGTAGTTCATGAATCTTGTTTTACAAATATATACGCACATGCATATGTATCACATATCTACATGTATACATATACATACGTATACTAGATAACAATGTGAAATTTACTTCCCACTGCAAGTAATAGGAAAAAGTTTGGTTTGTTTAAACTCTTACTATTCATTAGCTGCCATACTACGTTAAGGACTTGCCCATATTTCTGTA